GAAAATTTAAACATCATATTAATATATATATATATATATATATATATATATATATACTACATATAAACATCATACTGATTCTATAAGTTCTATTTAAAAAATGTTAACGTTATTGACATACGTACTCGTATCTATACTTTTATCACTTATGAAATCGGGCTTGACGCCAGAAGTTTACACCTTCTCTACTACTTATACATTAGGCGAGGTGAGACAAATCCCTGTCTATATAATTATCATTATCAGGTCACAATTCTTTTTATTAATTTACTTATTTACGTTAGGCAACACAGGCTCGTAAAAATAAACGAATGGAGTTTTGGCGGGAAATTGACCGGCGGCGGTTTGCTGCTCCTGTATTATTGTTTAAATAATGGTTTGAAGTGGACTTTGATATGTAAAAGTGCTGCGATTTTGTGTATTAAGTGTCTACGCATGTGAACTATTAGTGGAAACAGTGAAACAAGTGCTCTGATGGTGATGGATTCTCAAGATAAGCTGTTTGTTTGCATAGGCACCTTTAGATACCATCGCCAACTATCAGCTGTCTGCTGGATCAAGTTGCCGCCAAAATCTCCCAAGAACTGCACAATGTGACGCATCAACATATTGTGAAGCAGTATACTATGAAGGAGTGGGGAAATTACAATAAACCGAATAAAAATACTTAAGACTTGGCCTAAAGGTCTAGATACCAGTCCATAAACTCCAAAAAAAACGAATGTAAAGAACCGTAGATTTAAAAAAAAATGTTTTATATTAGTAATTAAGCAGTTTACAAGAGCTGAAAACTTTTATTCATATTTTGAAAATGCATGCTATTATTTGTGTTATTTGTGGTACCACAAATAACACAAATAATAGCATGCATTACGTTCAGCTTGTACAAAACCTTGATAACCTGCAACCACATAAAATTTTCAATTCGCATATATTAGTGATTCTTAACACAAAGAAAAAATGCAACGTCGGGCTATGGTGGCGTAGCTGAATTCATCAATCAATTTCTTCTCGTGGGCTTAATAAGAAAACCTCATGAAAGTGAAATATATACAGCTAGATATAAAGTAACTAGAGACTGAGCAACACGAAAATCAGCCAATGGACTTTAATGGACTCATTAAGAAAACAAGAAAGAACGAATACTTAGGTATCACTACTACATTTGGCTAATTGTATCCATTATAACATCTTGTAGCCAATGCTACGAGATATCATGCTGGTGTAGCGTAAGCGCTAAGGCCCCGTAGCCTTACACCGTTCTGTAGCATTCTCTGTAGTTTAATGAATAAAAGAACTTAGGGTCTACGACTTTAAAGAAGACGCTTTACTCAATGAAATAAACTTGTTTCATCGAAGTAAAAACGGAGAGATATTTGGATTAACCGGAATCTAAGTGCTTAAAAACTTAACTTATAATATAATCACTGTATAAAACTTATCATCGTGTCTTTTTTTCGTTTCCTTATTGAAATGATTGTATACCTTTTTAATTCAACTAATTTGTATTATTTGAATGGTTTTCCGGCTTTAATTTCATCCTCGCATCTCGCATGTAATCGCGCACGCTCGCAACATAATGCTGCATTTTGACATTATTCAGGATATTTCAAAAGTGGCATTATCGAAGAAATGGCCTGGTTATAAGTTAGAAGTATAAGAACACTAACAGTACGTTTCTAATCTACCAATTCTATTAATATTTTTATATTCTAACCTTTCGTAAAATTTCAGCCATTTCTATTCCTTCTGTCACATTTATTTTTACAAAATGCATTTTAGTTTCGAACTTGAAACTGTGTCATAAACATTTCTTCACTTGTCCACACTTGCACGCCTACTATCGTATGTCTACTACATTAACTGGCACCGTTCCATTGCACCGTGTTGGGACTCTGTAGGAGTATAGTGTATCAATCATATAAAAGCTTCTTGATTTAATTTTAGCGGTTGGGACAATATTTCAGTTTAAACATTAATCCTGTCATCTATGGATTTTTCAAGCAAGCGGTTATTTATTATTATTAAATTTACTTTTATATGACGTTTTGTATTTATTTAAAGAAATTTTTGCCTACAATTATTTTTAAAGAGTATATACTGTGTTTTGGCGTAAGGTTAATTTCTAAATTGGGTTTTGTTTAAAGAAGATATATAATGAAGAAAAATATGTTTATAAAAAAATTTAGAATTTCAATTATTTTATAATATTAATTTCGACGATAGAAATGAATACGCCTATATTAACGATTGGCAAAATAAACCGAATCCGAAAACCAATTCCAAAAAAGTGGGAACATCATCATCATTTAATCAGCATCATCATCCTCACAAGCCCACTGCTGAACATGGTATTAATCCTTGTGCATCCATCGACTTTTCACATGTCTTGCCAGGTCTTCACTCCATCTAATGGTGGCCGCCGTACAATTCGTTTACCAGTATGATACTACCACTCAAGAACCTTTCTTCCCCTTCGATTGTCCCTCCTTCAAGCTATATAACCGGCCCATACAACACACAGCTTACTGATCTGTTGAATTATTATTATTTAAATATTTTTATTAGATATTTTATCCATCACTTCATATAATGATTTCTTATATTTACGCGAACACTATACATTTAAATAAAACTACTTTTACGGATTTTATCGCGTATATTAACTTATTTTATATTCCCAATATTTCGAGTGCTTTACAGCACCCGTGGTCACGGGGGGGACTGAGGTGTTTGACATCCCAATGTTGTGTGAAGTGTCTGTTTGTAATATCAAAATAACAGGTTTTTTCTAAATCTTACGAAAGTATATAGGGTATTTATAACAAAAACATAATTTTGATAATTTTTGTCTGTCTGTTTGTTCCGGCTAATCTAAGAAATGGCTGGACCGATTTCGACGGGACTTTCACTGGCAGATAGCTGAAGTTATAAGGAGTATTTTAGGCCCCTTTTATTTTAGAAAATTAATTAGGGTTCTGCGCAACATAATTAAAACCCTAAATTACACGCGGGCGAAGTCGCGGAGAACAGCTAGTTGATTAATAATATTAATTTAAAATTAAGCCTGGATCCGATGCAGTATTGAAAAACTCGTTCAAATTGCGTTTGTTAAAATTCACTGTAATAATATAGTTTATGATTTCACCTGTATAAATATTTTAAGGTTAATAATTTACATGGATTTAATAAAAAAAAGTCCTGAGAAAACCGATGCAATGGAAACATTACGCATAATCCAAAAGAAAAAGCGGTCAAGTGCGTGCGTGCCTCGCATAATAAGCTCCTTAGTATCAAGACGACCGTGCATACAGAGTGCAAGTGCGATCCGTAAATATTGTTACAAGTACATACAGGAATTAATTGAGAATAAAGTTTTAAAGGCTTTAAGAAAATAATCATTTCGAGTGAGTATTGTATTTCATACAGATAACGAACTTTTATTTTAAGGAAGTCCTGTGTTAGAATTGCTATAGTATACGTTAGAATCGCCTTCCGAGTATAACACGGCGTTTAGAAGCGGGTAGAGAACTACCCCATTTTTTCATCTTATGTGTGTCTTGGAAGACGACAGAGGAAAATATGAAACAAGAGATGGTCAGCAACATCTTTCGGATAACATCTCAAAATAACAAAAAACTGCGGTGGCCAAACAAATATGGCCTATGTTCAGCATTGAACTTTTGATAGGTGTAGGTAATGAATGAATGAGCTTATATTTTGTTATATGTGACATTTTCATTATGTAATAAAATATTTTACAAGACACACTCAGTTTGCAGTCTACTATTCAGCTTTTTATTGGAGTAAATAAAACTTTATGTTAGTTATGACTACACTACATAAAAATTATGAGGTATTTTCACATTTAGAAATCAATGTGTTTTCAAATGTCTCTTCCGTATTGCTAAATACTTGTCCAATCCTCTAAAACAATAAATTAAAAAAAATAACAAAGTATTAGTCTAAATTATCAATACAACATTTTCATATGCGTATTTATAATGATAAGTATACTTGTGTAACTTAAGACAGATTACATGAAATCAATATTGAATATTAACATTTTAATTAACAAGTGGTAAAATTCAATATAAATATAATTTCTTGTTGATTTTTTTAAAACCGCATGACCGATTTCGATAAAATTTAAATGGGACCACCTGGGGAGCATACGCTTTGAAACAAAAAAAGGTCGGTTCAGGCGTCTTCGAGTAATCGGTGTGTAAATAAAAAAAGATTCCGACGAATCGTCAACCTCTCCTTCTTTTTGAAGTCGGTTAAAAAATGCATAAACGAAAATCTTTTATTTTCATATTTTTATTGTATCATTAACGCGAATTATTTGAAAAGGCGTTTTTATTTTTTTAGAATATAAACATAGGATGAGAATAAAATACAGCAACAGCCTATCCATCCCACTGCTGGGCGCATGCCCATTCTATACTTCTGAAGTTTTGAGAGGCAGGGAATAATCCGCGCTGCTACAATGCGAATTGGCAGTGTACAGATCCCAAAAAATAGCCACTAGGAGATAGGGTTCATGAAATGAAACTCAACTATCAATTAGCAGTAGGAGTCAATAAGCATCGTATATTATGTAGAGAAACCTTATGTACTATTTGAAACAAATCTTTACAACGCGATATAAATAACACAAGCTATGGACAAAACGACATCTAGTAAAAATAAACATAAACTAAATATTGTAAACAAAGTAATTGACAGATTTCATACATCCCGCCCGCCATGGACAGATTGTCCATAAACTATACATAACCACACGACACATATGTACTATGAATAAAAGAATCAATAAAAGTTATAACATACAGCTGTTAATAGTATGTTAAAGTACATATTTCATAACAATAAAAACATAAGTACTAAAATTTACAATCCTTGAATATTTTATTCCAATATAACACAAAAAAATTACTTAGAATAATGCATTGCATTCAGTAAATAATAACAGACAAACATCTTAAGAATACTTATATTCATTCAGTAATAGGCAAAACACAAATTTTTGATACTGGTCTTTTAATAGTAACACCTTTGCATCGTAAAGACACCACACGGGTAACTCCATCCAAACCAGGATGTTTTGCTATAATTATCCCATAGAGCCATCTAGCCGGAGGAAGATCGTCCTCCTTCACCAGTACAACATCTCCGATTTTCGGGTCAGGAGTATGCCCTTTCCACTTATGGCGTTGTAAAAATTGTGTGAGATATTCACGAGACCATCGCTTCCAAAAAGTTTGCACCATACGTTGGGTGATCTGCCAACGTTTAAGCGAATTTATATTAGAAGTTAAATAATTTTCATCTGGAACGAGAACCAATGGTTCTCCAATCAAGAAATGTCCCGGTGTGAGAGGGAATGGATCATCCATGTTATTATTTATTCTTGATATTGGCCTCGAGTTCAGACAAGCCTCGATTTGAGACAACACTGTACTAAATTCTTCAAATGTCAACAAAGAGTTGCCTATCACTCTTTTGAGGTGGCTTTTTGTAGACTTAATACCTGCTTCCCATAGACCTCCAAAATTAGGACTATAGGGTGGAATTCTGTGCCAGTAAGTTCCATTATTAGCGAGCCAATCAGCAATATCAACAGCCACACTGGACCTTTCTTCTGTTAGGAGGACTTGTAATATTCGATCCGCACCTACGAATGTAGTAGCGTTGTCACTCCATAAATCGGAACAATGTCCACGTCTGGAGACAAACCGTTTAAACGCTGCAATGAAAGCTTCAGAAGTAAGATCACTTACTAATTCGAGGTGCACAGCTCTAGTTGCCATGCAAATAAAGAGACATATATAACCCTTTGTAGACCGATATCCTCTGCCTTTTCCTATTTTTATTGCAACTGGACCAGCGTAATCTACTCCGCTATGACTAAATGGTCTACTTGCTCTCACTCTGGCAGCAGGTAACTGGCCCATGATTGGATTATTAGCTCTAGATGTATAGCGCAAGCAAGTAATACATTTGTGTATATAAGATTTTACTAAGTTTTTTAAATTAATAATCCAGTATCTTGACCGAATGAAGTTAATCATTAATTGTGGGCCTCCATGTAAGGTTTTCTCATGTGCATTTGCAACTATTAGTGTAGCCAAGTTAGAATCACGGGGAATTAAAATAGGATGCTTTCGTTCTATTTCAATTTGAGCCAATTGCAGTCTACCGCTAACTCGCCAAAGTCCATTGTCATCCTTATAAGGATTAAGGGAAGAAAACTTTCCCTTCTTATCGGTAATACGATCATTAAAATATTGTTTTTGACATTTTTTAATACAAATATTTAAAGCTTCTTGCAACTCCTTTGATGTCAACCAACGAGGTTTTATAGTATTCCGATAAAGGTAAAATCTTCTACACCAAGCAACCACTCGTATAAGTTTCCGTAAGGATGAAAATCGATTAATAATATAATCCTCTTCCAAATGTAATACTTCAACGCAGCATAATTTCGATCTTTGTTCTAAATTAGTATCGCATTCCTGGACATTTTTATTGCAAACAGAGTTCTGTTTTAATATTTTCTGATGCAGCCAATCAGGTCCTTGTTTCCATAAATATAAAGTTTCTAAAACTTCCGGACTCACACTCCTAGAAGCACAATCAGCGGGGTTATCTTGAGATTTCACATGAGACCACTGATTACGACCGAAATGTGTGACAATCTCAGATACTCTATTACCCACAAAAGGCTTCCATCTGCTCGGATGACTGCTCAACCAAGCAAGCACCACTGTTGAGTCCGTCCAAGCTCGTACTCTATTGAGTGGTAAGCAGAGAGTCTTTGCTACTTCATATAACAGCTTAGAAAGCAAAACAGCTCCACACAATTCTAAACGTGGAATGGAGACTTGTTTGACTGGCGACACTTTAGTTTTTGATGCTATCAAACTTACATGAACTTCGCCGTTTTCTTTTACAACTCGAGCGAATACCACTCCGGCGTATGCTTGGTTAGATGCATCGCAAAACCCATGTAGTTCTAAAAGTTCTTTCGTATTGGTGAATATCCATCTAGGAATACTAAAGCCTGTAATGAATGAAAGTTTACTCCTAAAATAAAGCCACTCCTGTAACAAATTAGAAGGTAATTCTTGATCCCACTCAATACCTGACATCCAAATCTTCTGAATGAAGATTTTGGCAGTAATTACTACTGGTGCTATCCATCCTAATGGATCGAATAACCTAGAAATATCTGAAACAACCTTTCTCTTTGTAACAGGAGTTGTTATTTGTGGTAACTGAACACGATACTCAAAATTGTCAGTTACATTATTCCAATATAATCCTAAAACCTTTGTGAAACTTTCATTTTCTTTTCCAACATTTAGTTCTATGTTTCCACTTTGACTTTTAACCACTTCTCCAGTTTTTTCTAATAATTCTCTACTATTACTTCCCCATTTTTGAAGTTGAAAACCTCCCTTTTGCATCATTTTATTAAGGTCTTTGTACACTTGTACACCTTCTTCAACTGTTTCACAACCACTCATCAGGTCATCCATATAGAAGTCTTGGAGTACTCTTTCAGCTGCTGAAATCATATCTTTACCCTCATCATAAGCTAACTGCTGAAGAGTACGTACAGCAAGATAAGGTGCTGATGCAGTTCCAAAAGTAACACGTAGTAGCCTATAATGGCGTAACTCACCTTCTTCGTCATGCCATAAAATACGCTGAAAATCTTTGTCACTTTTGGAAACCTCTATTTGTCTGTACATTTTAACTATGTCTGCTATTAAGCATATGGGTCGTACGCGCCAACGCATAACTAAATGTCGTAACTCGGGCTGAAGAACAGGGCCAACCATAAGATCGTGATTAAGAGAAATCCCGTTGGTACCAGGACATGAAGCGTCGAAAACAACTCTAAGCTTTGTTGTAGACTTATCCTCACGAATGATGGCATGGTGAGGCAAATAAACCGCACAAGGATTGTCCCTTTCTTCCTCTGGTACGATTTCCATATGGTTAAGATCAATGTATTCACGAATAACGGCAGAATATCTTTCTTTTAAATCTGAATTCCTTGCCAATCTTTTTTCTAAAAGGTGAAGTCGTCGCAAAGCAATGTGTCTGGAATTGCCATACTGGCACTTCGGATCCTTATCACGAAAAGGAAGCTTTACAATATATCTACCTGAATCATTTCGGGTTGTAGTATTAGCAAAAATAGTTTCACATTTTTGCTCCTCTTCAGTGAAAATTATTTTACAGGTACTAGCAGTTGGTTCTGCTTCTAATTCCCAAAACTTCTTCAATAATTCATTTTCATCAACTTGCAAATGAAAGTTTAAGATGGTGTTACATTTATTTGACTCAAAACTATCTATACATGTTGAGTTAATTTGACCAGATAAGATCCACCCCAGTCTAGTATTCTGTGCTACAGGTAATCCAGAAGGACCTTTGATTACACCATCTTCTAAAATCTGAGCAAATAACTCTGCACCAAGTAAGAGATCAATTTTATTAGGCACACCAAATTTTGGATCTGCCAGTTTAAGTTTGCCTATTTCAGGCCACATCTTAACTACAACTTTCTTAAAGGGCTGAAGTGTTGTAAGTTTGTTGAGGACGTGTACCTTTGCTTCTACATAAAATGTGGGATCGTGGAGTGAACGCAACCTAATAAACACCACAAACCTTGACTTAAGCAAAGAACTGTCCTCACCCCCTATTCCTGAAACTACGAGTTTTGTTGGAACCTTCTGCAGTCCAAGTGCTTGAACTGCTGACTCCGTAATAAACGAAGCTTGTGACCCTTGATCCAACAAACATCGCATTGTCATCTCAACACCTTTAAGTGATTCAGCTTTCACTAATGCCGTTGCTAACAACAATTGACTATAATTACTTAAAAAACATGTGACTACTGACTCTGGCTCTGACTCCTTCTGATTTTCATGAATGGCAGTTGTTGAATTAACAGCAACATTTATACCAACTGCATCCGTATTCTCCTTGCGATTCGTGGGATTATTTACAGGATGAAGCAACGAATGATGCTTCCTCTTACAAATTTGACATCGTGAAGAGTGTCTACAATTAAAAACAGAATGATTATCTCCTAAACAATTATAGCATAACCTCCTGGCTTGAGCATAGTCCCGTCGCGATTCTATAGTTTCCTTAGAAAATAACTTGCAATTGCATAATTTGTGATTGCCTTTACAAAATGAACAACATAAATTATTGTTATTAGACGTACTATCATTGGCATAACACACTGTTGCCTTACATTGCCTCGTTTTAGGTTTAGTATCTAAAAATTCCAATGATCGAAACCTATGTTCCAAAAAATCTTTAAAATCAGACAACTTAGGCAACTCAGAAGTTAATTCACTTGACTTAGCTTCCCATTGTTTTCTGGACTCATGATCAAGTTTCTGGCTCATTACGTAAACAATAATTATATCCCAAGTGCTAATATCTATACCTAAATTCTGCAAGCCGTTTAAACATTCTATTATAGTGTCTAATAGTTCCTTGATCGCATTTGAAGATTCAAATTGAATAATTTTATGATTCAATAACCGTTTTAATATGTGGTTTGAAAGATATTTTTTATTATCATATCTACTTTTTAGTTGAGTCCAGCAAACTGAATAATTCTTACCGGTAATAGGAATGTGACGTACAATTTGTTCAGCTTCTCCCGATAGATGACTCTTAAGGTAATGTAACTTCTGGACATCATCAAGAGTTTCACAGTTATCTACTAAACATACAAATAAATCTTTAAAAGAAGTCCAATCTGAATAATTCCCGTTAAAAATAGGTATAGTAATTTTAGGTAATCTAACCCCTGAAAAACTTGAAACTTTCGATGATACTTTATCCTCGGAAGAAGTAGATTTAGGATTTTTGTCAGCGCATTCATACAATTTTTGTTTTAATATTGACTTATAATCTATATAACATTCTTCAGTTTTGTCGTAAACTTTCTTTTTGTAATATTCAGACTTAGTTAAATCTTCCTTTAATACCTTTAATATTATTGCACGATGAGTTTCACAAAATGAATTCCATTGAACCTCTAAATTTTCTAATTTACTTTCTATATAAAAAACTGTAATACGATCCTTTGAAGTTTTCTTAAAATTAACATAAGCCTTTTCAATTAAAGAACTAGTTTCTATTTGTAGACATTCATACGCTGACATATCCATTATTCTTTTATTTTAAAAAGTATTTTAAAAACAATAAAATTTAAATTTGACAACTTCAAATCAATACGCAAATTTTTCTAAGTCTTATAATAGATATTTATTCAAAAATTTCTGTGTATTTGAACAAATTGTACCTAGCTATGAAATTGGGTATAGGTTCCCCGTCACATCACCTTTTGGAGAATTATTCTATTATAATAAGTCTAATACTAGAATAACATTCTTAGTCTACAACATTTTCGAAGTCTACACACATGAATTAACTTAGAAAATTACCAACAATTTTTACTAAATATAAAGTACTAGAATCACGAAACACTTCATTTATCACCTTGTCGTCGAAATGTATCCATATGCGTCGCGTGTCGATGAAGATCCCGTCTACTGGCAACTGCTCCCAATTCAGACACCACGCACTAACAGCGCAGCGTGGTTGCACAGCGGAAGACACTGAGTCACGTGTCGATGAAGATCCCGTCCACTGGCAACTGCTCCCAATTCAGACACCACGCATTAACAGCGCAGCGTGGTTGCACAGCGGAAGACACTGACTCACTACAATAATTTGCTTCTGCGTACTCACAAGTCGCCTGGTAACGCGTGCACCTTCTTTTACACTATACTTCACCACCACAAGCGCAATCACCTTAGCACAATGATCACAGAGCACTATCGACGACAATCGGCCACCGTGTCGGCACAGCTATGGATACAGACACAACCTCCACTGATGTCTCACTATCCGGCTCGAAGGACCATGTACAGATCCCAAAAAATAGCCACTAGGAGATAGGGTTCATGAAATGAAACTCAACTATCAATTAGCAGTAGGAGTCAATAAGCATCGTATATTATGTAGAGAAACCTTATGTACTATTTGAAACAAATCTTTACAACGCGATATAAATAACACAAGCTATGGACAAAACGACATCTAGTAAAAATAAACATAAACTAAATATTGTAAACAAAGTAATTGACAGATTTCATACAGGCAGACTTTATGTGTACTAGAAATTGTTCTTTTTTTATTTATGCAAGTTTCCTCGCATTGTTTTCCTTTACCGATGAATCAATGATAAATTTAAAAAATGCGAGGAACTACTTCATTGGCGTTCTACAAAGTTTCAAGACTAGACTCATTCCATGAATTACTACTCTAGATAGCTTTGCATTTATTCAAACCGATAATAAATATAATTGATCAAATAATAATAGACTACCTTTTTCGGATCCACGAGTAGCACAAAAGTATTTTATTGTTAAATACCGAGTAGCTACGAGGCTGCCGGTTATCCAGTTTTTCGATTACTGGCTTTACAAAATCGTTTAGTTTCATACTTTTAATATTTTTAAGAGTAAAAAATGTTTGTAAAAATTTTTATCCACTCTATGTGACTATCTTATCAGTTAGAAAGGGAGTGCTAATGTTAAGGAGATATGACTCAACTAAACACAAAAGTCTGTAGACATATGTATTTCAACCAGTATATTTTAACGATGCGTTGTTACCTTTGAGAATTAAGACGAAATGTCTCGTACTGGTTACGAGCCTCGTAACCAGTAAAAAGGTACACATCACCAACGATAATTATTTTCGTCTCTAACAATATTCATATTGTAAGTTGTTGTTCACAACAAAAGCATTTTATGATGGTATTTTGTGTGAGTGGTCCTTACCCCGGTCGGCCATAATCGCTGAACCATGGCTCTACCAGGTAATATATAGAAATGGCGTTGCTGAAAATGACGCCGACATTAGTTTCTGGTGTAAATACTTTCGTGTATTCCAGCTATAATATCCAAGACACTAGACAAACAATCTGTAGACTGAGTGTCGTAAAACAGTTGAGACCACCACCGAACAATGCATAGTCAATGTAATCGTCTATCCAGGCCATAAGGATATTTAAAAAATTTTAGCTAGCTTTCGACTGTGTTCAATATGAGACGTTAATCAGGAAGATACATCTTTATGGTGTAAAATACATAGCACTTAAACTTATCACAAGAAATATATTAAATTTACAACATCAAATGATAGGCAGGTGAATACCAGTATGCCTTTAAAATATAGAGAAGCTGAGTTTTGTTGAATCCAGTGCAGTGTTTTTCTTGGAATTACAAGAAGCTTTAATGGGGCTCTCACATGCCTAAACTGGCTAGCAAACTTAGTTCTACAATATACAGTAAAAAGATTAGAAGCCTTACATGTGTTGAAACAGCTAGATTAGTTTATTGTAATTATTTCCATAGTATTATATAATTTTGCTAGGACATTGAAACTATATTTATTTTGCAGAAGCAATTTATAAACTTGGTTCAAAGGAGTCTCTAAGAAAGAAATTGGCTTCTTAGTATGTTTACGAAAATTTAATATATATAAACAAAAACAAAAATATTTTAATTAAAAATAATGACGTACATTCTGTAAATACTAGGAAATAGCACAAACTAGTTCACAGTATCACAGTATACTAATTATTTGAATTCCAAGAGTCAGTAATTCCTGTATAGGACAACGTATTTTAAAATTTTTACTTAGAGAAAATTATTAAAAATTATCATTTATTACGAGTTATTATACTATTAAAGAGTACATGATTAATAATAAAACCCCTGTGAATGAGGTTACAGCTACCATGCTATATATATATATATATATATATATATATATATAGCATGGTGGCTGTAAGCATGAATATATATATATATATATATATATATATATATATATATATATATATATATATATATATTCATGCTTAATTGTATAAAATATAATATTGTTAATTAATATTTTATAAAAAGTCCGCCGAGTTTATCGCTGATTTTTCCCTGGACAGGGGTATTTTTCCGAATCAAAAAGCATAAATTATTTTTTAAGTATTCTTGTAAGCTTTAATGAATAATTATTCTATTCCATTGCATTCGACTATATTATTAACTTGTAATCACTATTAGTTGACCATTAGTTGCAGAGTTATATATTAATCAAGTAAAGAAAAATAGTTTTTTTTTAGCTTAATCATATTTTTCAATCTCTAAATCTGTTTCGAATCTTTTAACACGAAGCCATATCGAAAATGTATAATATATTTCTTTCTATAACAAATTTACTATTCGATGGACATAGACCAACTTAAGGGGATAAGTGTATAACATTATTGTAATAGATATATTAAATTAATTTCGTAATTAACACTATAAACATGTTTATGACTGCAGTATGATTGGGTTGGTTCGTCCGAGGAAGTAACAAACTCGCAATCACAGGAAACCCTTTTTACAGGTAACGAATTATTCCATCTTAGTCATTCGGATTCTAATTGAGGAAAGATGTAGGTACTTACGGGCCACTAATTTTATTACGCATAAACACTGCACACTGGAAAAATTATTCAATGCATAAGAGCCCATCTGAGTGCGCCTCTATTTCGGCAGCTAATAAGAAGTGAACTCCGTTGTTATTTTATAATTTATAATTAAGGGAGTTGGTACTAACCCCTGACCCCTTAGTATGTGACATTCTATCTTAGTACCCAGAGGCAACATCGCACCCGTATACATCTTTAGCTAAAATTAACTACAGAACGCCAGCAGCCGTGCTGATGCTGTGTTGAAACTTATCGCGGATTGCTATAGTCATCTTCTCTTAAGCCGTAAAGGTCCGGAACCGAAATCTGTCCGGAATCGATAGGGAACAGGTTTTACTCAAACGCTCACTAGCAATGTGACCACGAGGAGGACGACGACTCGGAAGTGCATTGCAAGTGTACTAGGGGAGGAGAGTCTAGCAAGCTGTCCCCAAGACGACTAGTTTAAATAAAAAGCGTCCGGCGTAACTTTCCCTTCGCCCCTCAGCGGAAAATCTTAACGTCCTTCGTTACGATTTTTACCAGTCGTGATATTTTAAGCTTGTTACGCTCTGGAAAAATTTAAAACATTAATTCCGCATTCTACGCAAAACACAAATTTTTCCTGTCATTTGTTTATTTTCTGTCAAAATTAAGAACTATGAATTACGTATGTACCTACCTTGTTTATAAAGCTTAGTGTAAGGCTTATTTAGTTTGTTTATCTGATCCTTGGCGATTTTAACGCCCACCATGCCGAATGGCTCGGTTCACGTTTAACCGATCATGCGGGGAGATCTGTTTATGACTTTGCTTTGGCATATGGTCTGACACAACTGGTTACTTCGCCTACGCGGATTCCAGATGTGGAGGATCATACACCTTCCCTGTTGGACCTTCTGCTGACCTCTCATCCGGACGGATATCAGGTTTCCGTCGATGCCCCTCTCGGCTCTTCGGACCATTGTCTGATCCGGAGTATGGTGCCACTCACGCTCCCTTCGCGGTTGCGTTCTGCAGGTTGCCGCCGTGTTTGGCATTACAGGTCGGCGGATTGGGACGGAATGCGGTCTTTCTTTGCATCCTACCCATGGGGGCGGGTTTGCTTCTCGCCGGATGATCCCAGCGCTGTTGCTGACTCTGTCACTGATGTGGTGCTACAGGGAATGGAACTATTTATTCCATCATCTGTGGTACCCATCGGAGGCAGGTCTCAGCCTTGGTTTGGTCGCTCCTGTAAGACTGCATTGCGCAGAAAGCAGGAGTGTTATCAAGCCTGGGCTGCGGCTTCGGTGACTCGGGATGTAAACACCAGCACACTTAAAAAGAAGTATAACTTCGCCTCCAGGTCCTTCAAAAGAGTTATTGCCAAGGCAAAGTCAGAGCACATAGGCAGAATTGGCGAGAAACTAGTTCGCCTTCCTTCGGGAACCCGTGCATTCTGGTCTCTCGCCAAGGCTGTCCAAGGGAATTTCTGTAAGCCATCACTACCATCTCTGCACAGGGAGGACGACTCACTGGCCCACGACGCAAAAGAGAAGGCCGACCTTTTAGGCTCCCTTTTTGCGTCCAACTCGACTGTTGATGACGGGGGGAACACACCGCCGACCATCCCGCGGTGTGAGTGCTCTATGCCGGATGTGCTATTCTCACAGCGCTCGGTTCGCAGAGCACTCCTCTCCCTTGACATCCACAAGTCGAGTGGGCCTGACGGAATCCCCCCAATTGTGCTGAGGACGTGTGCTCCGGAGTTGGCACCGGTTCTAACGCGTCTTTTCCGGTACTCCTACTCCCATGGCGTTGTCCCGAACTCATGGAAGACAGCTTTTGTCCACCCGATCCCTAAAAAAGGCGACCGCTCAGACCCGTCCAACTATAGGCCTATCGCGATCACCTCCTTGTTCTCCAAAATAATGGAATCCATTATTAACTGCCAGCTCATCCGGTACCTTGAGAATCACCAGCTGATCAGTGACCGCCAATACGGTTTTCGTCGGGGTCGATCAGCTGGTGATCTTCTAGTCTACCTGACCCATAGATGGGCGGAGGCAGTAGAGTCCAAGGGGGAGGCGTTGGCCGTTAGTCTGGACATTGCGAAGGCCTTCGATCGGGTTTGGCACAAAGCGCTTCTTTCGAAGCTCCCTTCCTATGGGCTTCCCGAGAAATTGTGCAATTGGATCACCAGCTTCCTTGCAGATCGGAGCATCAAGGTCGTTGTAGACGGTGCATGTTCTGACTACAAGCCTATTAACGCTGGTGTTCCACAAGGCTGTGTGCTATCACCAACGCTGTTTCTTCTGCATATCAATGATATGTTGCTAACTGGTAACATTCATTGCTATGCGGATGACAGCACTGGTGATGCTCTATACACCGGCCGGGCCAATATTTCTCGGGAAAACGTCGCCGAGTACCGGAACAAACTTGTGTCTGAAGTCGAGTCTTTGCTGGACAAAGTCTCGAATTGGGGGCGACTAAATCTAGTCCAGTTTAATCCTCAGAAGACACAAGTTTGCGCGTTTACCGCTAAAAAGAACCCCTTTGTCGTATCTCCTCAGTTTCAAGGCACTCCCCTTCTTGCCTCAGCCAGTATCGGTATCCTCGGAGTCGACATATCGAGTGACGTGCAGTTTCGTGGTCACTTGGAAGAGAAGGCCAAATTGGCCTCTAAAAAGCTTGGCGTGCTCAGCAGAGCGGGACAGTATTTCATGCCGGCACACCGCCTGCAACTTTACAAGGCGCAGGTTCGGCCTCACATGGAATACTGTTCCCATCTCTGGGCAGGGGCTCCCCAGTGCCAGCTCCTTCCACTTGACCGCATCCAGCGCAGAGCGGCTCGAATCGTCGACGACCGAGCCCTTTCCGATCGGCTCGATTCATTGGCACTGCGAAGAGATGTTGCATCTCTTTGCATTTTCTTTCGCATCTACCATGGGGAGTGCTCTGAGGAATTGTTCGGATTAATCCCAGCCGCCAAATTTCATGAACGCACATCGCGGCAGAACTCCCGATACCATCCACACCATCTGGATGATTGGCGGTCCACCACTGTGCGATTTAGAAGATGTTTTCTTCCTCGCACGACTTCCTTGTGGAATCGATTACCATCAGCGATTTTTCCGGACCGATATGACTTAGGGACCTTCAAGAAAAGAGCCTACTCCTTTTTAAAAGGCCGGCAACGCATCTGCAATTCCCCTGGTGTTGCGGTTGTTCATGGGCGGCGGTAGTCACTTACCATCAGGTGAGCCGCATGCTCGTTTGCCCCCTATCCCATAAAAAAAAAAAAAAAAAAAAAAAAAGATTATTTACTTAATTATTTGAAAACAGATAGACGACTAGTGCAGTGCACATACAAGTCATAATTCACGGTCAAAGAATACAAACTTGAGTCATCAGCTAGTTCATAAATTCAGGTGTGCTGGAATTATTTCAGATCGAACTACAGTTTGATAAATGTATGTGGGTGGTTTTAATCACCCGCACCTACGCTAGAACTATTTCGGTCTAAACGTGTAAACTTCGTTTAATACTTATATATTATTAATGAGAAAATACAATATTTGTAAAGTGTGAATAGTTGATGCACCAGTGAGTGATGTATATCTCTCACAACTCAGCTCTTTTAATACTTACATTATTAAATATATAATATTTATGGAAAAATTATTTTGAGACATCTTTTTGGGTAGTGAGTTAAAATAATATAGAGGCGGATGTCCGGTAATTGTATATAATCAGTTATGAAATAACGATATCGAACGAAAGCTAGGAAAGTAGAATAAAACGTACATAACAAAAATGTTTACTGGGCGGGCGCCGGGCCACGGGCGGCGAGACACGCGCGGGGGCGGGCGTGCAAAAGTAGCCCAGAGAAGGCCGCCGCCAGTGCGCGCCCGCCCAGGTCCGACACTCGACGTCGGCTCGTCCACGACACCACACTGCTAAACATTATACGACCAATTTTATAAACGGTAAGAACCGTGATACGCCATTGTTTTACGCGAAAGTGCTTCAACTCCCTGTTGCGTGAGTCTATCTTGTGTCATCGGAGTGTTTTTGTCTCGCTTTGCTGTTGCGCAATCGTACCTCCCTCTCGCTTGGTCGTCAGGGTCTCTTTGAATGGTTCGACAACTCAATTTTCGCGAGTGATTGGCCGATATAACACAACATAACAGGGTAATACGTATATTCTATCCCTGACACGTAAGCTTCTTTTAAATTTTTATTTACACAGTAATCAAATTTTTGAGATATATACCATTAATATGTTGCATATTTGTACTGGATTTATAACTTATAATTATTTCGTCATTTATGTAACTATACCACTCGGTAGGTTAAAATTACATAAAAATATCGAACTGAATTAATAGTCCACCTTTCGAAAAGTTTTAAAGATCTTTAACGTACATTTAAATGTAAATTCGCATAAAATTAGTAAATAATGGTAATATTAGAATAAGGATAGTATATAGCAATGTTGTCTTCTTATCGTTATGTATATATATATATATATACAGAAACAATGTAAGATACCACCTGTCGGCGTCAATACACTCGAGTTGGCGGAATGTCGTGAATCCGATACGACTCCGCACGCTGCTATTTTAGGAGCACTCGTCCCGCGCCAAATTTGCAATCCCGCCAAATCAACGCGTCTTTTTATTCTCGTAACTGTTTCACAATCGCGTTTGAAAAAATTCGTCTCTATAATTCAGGCAATAGATTCTATACCATTTTCTAATGTTGTTTTGACATTGGCCTTTAATCTTGACCTATTTATAATCTTACAAAATTAAATGAAAATTTAATAAGCACACTATTATGTACTTACCTAATATATATTTTGATTTCATATATATTTTTTTTCTCTGCTACTTTGATTTTATAATGATAGCTTGTAATTTAATATATTTTATTGTAACTGCTATTAGACTTGGAACTTTATTTTATTTTAAATCCTACAAATCAAAGTTATTTCTTAACTATAAACTTCAAAATATAAGTAATAATATTTTAGGGATTTTGTCAATAACAAAAATTGGTGTCAGTTGTCTGGACCTAAACATTTTTACTATTATCTACACAGGACATAAGTAAATCAAATAAAAATAATTGATGCATTAGTTCTGAAATAACACCTGAAAATAAAAAATAAAAGAGCTTTTGAAATTATACTTGAACGACTACTACTACTACTAAGCATTAGAATATTCACCTAATACAAAATGTAACAAAAACCCTGTGGTTACCTTTAAGTACTTTATTAGTCAGTATTGAAACGTAAAGAAATAACTTCTTTTTTTAAAAACTTATTATATTCTTTTATTAAAAAAATATTTTATTTAAAAAATACTAATTTACAAATTGTATGTGGTTTTATTACCTCTGACACGAGCATCGGTGAAGGGGGACATTTCACAATCCTCTTATTCCGGATAATGCAGAGGCAATAGAACCACATACAATTCGCAAATTATTTTTTTTAATTAAAATACATATTTTTAATGTTCAAGTTTTTTTGAAAAAAAAAGTTAATTTCTTTACGTTTGAATACTGACTCTGATAACGTACTTGACGGGAACCACAGGGTTTTTGTTAAGTGTTGTATAACTGGCGTAATACACAACAAACTTTCTATTACCGACCCGATACCAATAATATGGTTTTCGAAATTTAATTGCTTTATACGAGCAGACCTGTCTAAATATGATGGAGGTATTTATTTTCATCTGAAAGTAATGAATACCGCTGCTATTCCTCTAATTTTACCTGTGACGCAAATGCTTATAATAAAGTCTCAGTTTAGAGCGTAACAAAGCAATAATTGTTATGACTATGAATTTTTATGATTGACTGAACAGTTCAAAAAACATTAGAAAGTTGCTTAGTTCAAACTATAGCTAAATTATTTACACGAAAGGAGGGGGAGACCCTTAGCCGCGGCACCTCAATATATGACACGTTAATAATTTATATGTTATCGCCAATTTCAACATTGAGATATAGCTACGTTGTATTTTTATTGTTACGCAAATGTGTCTAGAATGAATATTAATCGTCAATATAACCTTAAAAATAGTAAAAAATATTCCAGGAAAAGTTTGTTCAGACAAAAAAAATTGTCGGTTACATATTACGTAAAATTGTACTAGGACGCTGACTTATCCGTTGAAACTTGCTGCAAGGTCGAGACGAACTCTAAAATAGACGAGTGATCAAGCATTCATAAAAACGGCCGTTTTCGAGTTTCTCCTCGGCAGTAGAAACGTTGGCCAGCGTCCAAATCCACCACCATACGTCGCGGCGGCCAGCCATCAAGACAGCTATTTGCAGCCCCGGTACTAACTTTCAATACGTCATAGCTCTATTTACGAGGAGCAAGCGAGTTATTGTGTTTAACTATGTCACCTGAGTGAACATTCAAAGACAACACACAGACATCAAGGTTAACTTTCAAACATCGATACTAATAAGTATCGATGTTACACTATGTCTTTTGCCGACAGTTTTCTATATAATTGTTATTTTTTTACAGAACACGAGCACGACATAAACCATCAAAATGTTTAAAAGTCATTTAGAAATGATCGGCAGAAATGAGACGCCGTCGAAGAAGGCCAGATTTTGGCAATCTTACGTGCGGTCTCTAAAAGGTAAGGTTTTATGTGGGTAACTACTAATTACTTTTGCCTCTTAATTTTAATTAAAAACGTTCCTTTCCCCTTACGGACAATAACATTTTGGAATATAAGCATAGCAATTTTGATCAACTACCTCTTACTATTGAAACGCTAGGAGCGGGGGGAGGAGGAGGAGGGCAGTGGGAACCCCCGCCCCCTGTCACACACCTCTCTTCAGAAGCGAATGGAATATTTTATAAATTTTTGAAAATTCCGTAATTTGATGCCAATTCATTTAATTGAAAAGTTAGTATTTTATTTATCATTTAATTATCATTTAATTGAAAAGTTAGTTTATCAGTTTCTAGAGTATTATATTAATACACAAAACAATGACTCAGTGGTTTGCCCTTTAATTTTTTTGGAAATTTTAACTTTTTTTAAATTTTTCTTTTTTTATGAATATCTGTGGTATTTTTAATCTTATTAATATAAAATATAGCTAATAGTCAAGAAAGAACTATTAACCTTTACATTTTCGAAAAAAATTAACTTTCCCGCTATCATCATCATCATCATCATCATCATTACAGCCCTTCACAAGTCCACTGCTGAACATAGGCCTTCCCCAAGGAATAGCCGAATGAATGAATGATAAAATGAGGCCTATGTTCCCCGCTATGAAATCTTTCAAATATTATAACTCACTTTTAAGTGACGCCGCCCTGAGGGCTAAAAAAAGTCGTGGCTCCTTCGAGCCCTCATTTGAAGCATTTTCGCACAAGTATTTCTAAAAGAAGGAGTGGTGAAATGGCATCATTTAATTTTCACGAGACCTATGAGTTTCAAAATGTTGAATCTTTGTACACAATACCTCCCTCGACCCTCTAAAAAGAAATCTGGCCATTCACTTCTACCACCCAAGAGACTGCTGAAACAATCATTAAGGAGTGTTTCTCTGACAATGGACCTGATATAGATCCTATGTTAATAAAGTAGGAGTTTCAATAAGCAGTCATCTGAAAGTGCTAACTTTGGGTAGTTAATCTAAAGGTGAGCCAACATTTTCAAAAGACTATAGTTGAACAACTTACGGCTTAAAATTGTTTTTTTTTTTCGGTTGTCACTAGTTGCTGTACAAATAGCAATCCTAATAATGGTTTTATGATTGATATACCGGGCGGGCTTTCCCAAGAATGCGCTAATTTACATGAATAATTTGAAATGTATAAATGCCCATACTGCCTGATACTAATAACCTTGAACTAGTGACGCTTTTTTTAACTTATTATAAGCCAGTGCTAGCCTAGATGGTAAATTGCACTGTCTTATCATAACAAAAGCCTATTCACTCTTGCCTTGAAGACGCCCAGATTGTATTCGGGCGGAAAGATGAACGCAGCCAAATTATTTCACTCCTTTGCTGTACGCATTACAAAAGACGAAGCAAACCGTTATGGTTTGCTTCGTCACTATACATAATACGCTATCACTATACATAATATACGACCGTGAGGTCTAAAAGTAAAAGTAATTTGCTACTGAACCGCCGGTCCTATTTTCGAATTACAGCTAGAACCAATATTGTTGCAAAAATATATTGTTTATCAAGTTATGTGGGACGTAAAAAAAAATCCTAGCATTATATTATTGAGATCATTGTCTGTGTTTACTGAAACACATAAGGCACTATAACAATCTTTTATGTTATGGAACAAGTGAATTATCAGCGTAATATTTATAATGACCCGGCAATATGAATAATGACAAGTCAAATCGGGCTATGTAATTAATACTGACTTAAACTTCATTATTTAACACATTGTCTTGTCATAATGAATATTGCTACTTAACTCTTGCGGAATTTGATATAACCTAACCTAACATAACCTAACCATGTTAATCACTTTTAAGACAATGAGTTAACAATGTACCAAATCTGAATTTAACAAGTGTAAGAAATGTAAATGAAAGGAAAAACAACTTTGCAGTATCAAATTGCAGCGATGGGGCATTACCTTAATTTGCGTTACAAAGAAAAACTACCTTTTCTTATAGGATAGGGTGACAAACATTTTTTTCTTTTCATAATTCAAATGATGATTTTAGCGAAGATTTTTCTAACAAAAAAAAAAAACAACAAAAAACTGCAGCTCTATTAATTGTACAATTGTAACACGAATGAGCAGGCTTGACCGGAGAAGTACCGCGCTCTCACAGAATAACAACGTAAAATAGCAGCTCAATGCTGCTTTGTTTCGTATAGTAAGTGTAGAGACCCAAACGAACTCTTTACTGGAAAAGAGGCATTCCATCTTAGTCCTCACGGCTGACAACGCATCTGCATTTTGCAAACGAGGATAGCGATATGAGCCACAGCAACCACTTACCATCAGGTGGACTGTGTGCTCGCTTGTCACCCTTATCCTATAAAAAAAACATGTGTGCAGTTTAATATTTCGAAGTTTATGTAGTTCTTTAGAACCTAAACTTCGAAATATTGAGACGAATGCAGAGTATCAGGAGTAGGATAATTGTAGGGTTTATAACATTAAAATATAAATAATTTTATAATAAACACCGTATACTGTATTCAATCTCATTCTCTCGCAGGCTAAATCCTATATATGTACATATATGTTTGTATATTTTTATTGTCGATTTTTCGATTCATCGAGCCTCAAATCACAACGACTCTAAATAAGTTTTCACTTCCATATATTTTGTAAATTTAGTACCTAAAAAAGGAGCTTAACGAATTAGATTATGGATATAACTTTATTGATTAATAGGATCAGAAGACATCAGAGCTGAGGAGAGGTACAGGCCAACGCGCCGTAGTGTATTCCCCGAGCTTATGTCCACCTACCCTTACTCCAAATCTATCTACGATGACCCCATGGGTGCCGCCGAAAGGATCACTGTTCCCGGATACCGCTACCTGCCGGTACACCGTGAAGTTTACGGATACTCGCCACGTCCCATCTATGCCCACAACTACCCAAGTTCCCTTGATCGGTACAGGCCAGGTCAGTACAGTTTGATATTATATTCGATAAAATGTAAATATGTTATGATATATGTAATCCATTACACTAACACATCAAATTATCGATAGATTTCCATATAGAAAATACCCTATCACCACTTAACATCAGGTGGGATCTTGATCAAAACTAGGCCTATTATTTATTAATGAAATAATTACGGTACATATATGTATATTCTGAGTTTCAGTATATATATATATATATATATATGTGTACCGTATAGAAAAATATTCTTAAGAAATTTTATATACTACACACTAAAATCTAAAACTAAAAGTCGCAAATTCGTATTAGTGACGTTTGCCACTCGGAAAGTTTTACGAAACTAAAAAACAAGTTCTGTGGTTAGTTTTTATTATTCAATATTTTCAACGAACTCTTGACAAGCATGAATTTAAATACACATTTTGTGCGTCCGAACCAATTTTCAAAACAATTTTTACAGTCGGCCTCAGACTCCTCTTCTACAGCCTGCTTGAAACTGGCTGGTGATTAAAACTCCCTCGCTTTGAGCACCGAGAACGCGGGCCGTTTGTCATGGTGAAACAGTAGCCTGCTGAGCCGTGTTCGGCTGTTGCTGCCGTTGTTGTTCACAGCGGTAAACACTTCTGGCGAACTTTTGGCATTATACCGTTCGGCATTGATGCTATTTTTATGTCTTAAAAAGAGTTAACCACAAAATACCCGTCAAAAAAAAATAACAATCAAAATCTTCCCTCAGCTTCCCGACCTTCGACCCGACTGATTACACTTTGATAGGCGTTAGTTCATTTTGAAACAACTAAACCGTCGTAAATCCAAGATTCATAATATTTAATAAAGAATAATGTTGTAAAAAACCGACACGAGACTGTTTTAAATTCAGTAATCATGTCACGCAGTACCATTTCACGCGGGCAGCTTCTGAGCATCGGTAAGGTTGTGGGGCACCAAACGCGAAACACTCATCCTCACGCGAAGGTGTTCGTATAGAAACTTGCGAACGATTCCCAATCGAATAATATGTGATTTCTTCATAAGTAACTCTCTCTTCTTTTATATTCTCTTCAATTAAAATTTTCACTTCGGCTCGTTTTCCTCCTTAACTACTACGTCGATCGTTCTGAAATTCGCATATTAAGCACATTGACTTTTATCTTACTCGGGTTTTGTTTTGGAAGAGCATATATCCATAAATGCTATTTGTAATCTATCAGAAGATTCGTCCAGTTTTAGGCGACATTTGAAACCGTAAAAAATCATCGTGCGAAAATATTCACGACGCAGATCCATTTATCAAGAAATTGTTTAAAATATTCATGCATATTTCATTAATTTAGCTCGCTCGGGAAATTTGAAATTAGAATATATTTATAATTCTAAAAAAAATTATAGCTGGTCAATGTCTCGAACAAAAAAAACTTGTTTTCGCGAAACTTTCTGAGTGGCCTTTCGTATATTTTATAATAAGTATCATTCACTTACACATTTAACAAGTATTTAATGTAAAGCAATTAATAACTCGAGCAATTTAAGCTTAAAGCAATTTTTATACCATTACAACGTTTTCTGCAACTGCTGTTTTAGCAATGCTTTAATATAGCACCTTTATTACTGATAAATGAATTTGGAAGTACAAGGTTTAATTTAACAATAAAAATAATTTCTCACAATGTTATGTTACCATATACTATGTACGTATAGGTTTTCTACAATAATAGTTATACTATACTTTATCGAACATTGTAAGCAAAGAGTATACAATCACTACGTTTAATTGTAGGTAGTGCATCAATTATTTGAATGAGAAAGATAAATATTGGCATTTTATTCATTGTTTCAGCATCAAAAGTCTCGGGAGCAGTTTAAAAAACTATCATCTTAAGTAATTAGAATACGCATTTTTAAATAAAGATGATTTATTTATTCAGCTTCTGTTGAAAAATTAAAATTAATTAAAGCTATAAAGTTATTGAACTTTTATACAGTTACTGAAAAATATATTATTGGCAAATGTATTGCATTTTTAAATAATAAAGCTTACGCAAATAAATCTGCCGTGAAACCTGTCAAAGGCTCGGAGATACATTTAGCAATAAATCGATGAATCGGTTAACATTTCATAAATATTTACAAATACACAAACTAAATCGATGTAAATGACTAAACAACATCGATTTCTTCAAATATAACTAATGTATACGTTTTGTCCGCTCAATATCATATTCGTTTCTGTACATTTCACATATGTAGATGTACATTTTATAAAATAGTAATTATTAATGTTTATATTTTATCTATCCATGTGTTGGCACCGATCTCTGCTTTGTAATGCAAGTAACATCATTAATAATTTCTGCATGTATTAAATTACTTCCAATAAAAATCACCTCTTACACATAACATCATCTACACTTACGCTGTACGTAAAAACCATGAATGTTATATCGACATCATCGATTGAATCTTCTAGCATTTGTCAGGTGGTCACCATTTTTTAATTTTTATTTTATGTTAAATCCCTTTGTAATATATATTTAAACTTAGCATAAATAAACTATATTAACAAGACGTAATCGGAATGTGATAGAGGTGAGTTCTTTGTAAGCGATTTAGTGTAGTATTGTTGTTATGTATGACTAAAGCTTTTTTTGATCTGCAATTTCTAACAAATTACTAATATGTATTGTGTATTATCCATGTTGAACTTAGGATGATTATTCCATTTGAATGCTCATATAATATAAAATTCATTACTTAAAGCGTTTTTAATATGTAGGTAAATGTGTTGTTGAGAAAATTCTGATCTATAACTGATGATATACCCGTTTATATCTTTTTAATTTTTGAAAATATAATTAAATTTAATTATCGGATGACACTTAAAGTCCTTATTAACGGATGAATCATACATGTGTTATAGCTGTTTGAATAATAAATAGAATTTTCTGTGAAACACACGATCCCACAAATGAAATGTGAATTCCGGTTACAGTTTACCACGTACCGAGGCGTATCCAACGTGGCGTCGACCCCTTCGACGCTCACAAAGCGTGGCAAGACCATTTGGACAGAATGGCTGCCATCGACCGGCTGTATCCTTCTCGTTACGGCCTTTACTTGAGGGACCGGGCATACCCTATCACCGACCTAACCGCACCCATTGTCGACCCTTTCAAGCCTAAAAGCCTAAAAGGCATCGAATATGAACCTGACTCTAAACCTCACTGGGGAACAGGTAAATTTGATTAAACTGTATGCACGATTATCATAGCTTAAGTTAGGATAAGTGTTACTGTGTTTCGTTCGTTCCTATTGACGTAGAAAACGTGTTCCTCTGTGTCTGGGATTGATGTTTCGTTGTTAGTAACGAATGAAAAACAGTGTTTTGCTGGTCCATGTTATGAGCTAAGTGCTGTATGTTTCCAATTGTGTAAGAAAATGTTTATTATCCATTCGGAACATATTGGACGTAGCAGATCACATGGATTCAGAATATTGTACAAACAACTGGAATCTAATTCACTGTTGGTTTCAATGCTAATTGAATCTGGTTATAGTGAATTGGTCCTCCAAGTAATTTTTTATTCTATCCGAATATACACAAAACAAACTTAAAAGTTATTAATTTATAACTCAGTGAAGTATTTTATTATATGTTTATTACTTTAAATGTTCATTATTAAATTATTACCATTGTATATCACATGCAAACTTCGAAATAATATGTATATTTTTATAATTGGTTCTCTATACCTGAATATTCATAATTTGTTTATTGATATCTCTATTTTTGTCTAGATTTAATTCAAAAATTATTGTTACTTATACTTGTTATATACCTATTTAATACAATACTGCTATCCTACATTATTGATCAGTGCAAACTAAAAAAAACTGCATTAACTAACCCAATTCATATTTTTTATATTAAAATATAAAAGACCAATCCGTGTTTTGATTTAGTAGCTTAGTACCTTTCATAAATTTACCGATTTTAAAGTGTACAATTCCAGTATCCAAATCAAGATGCACAAAAAAGTCACAGCACTTATCATAAGACTTTCACCCATATTTCAGGATGTGCATGACCTGCCATTGTACATATGCAAGACCATACTGATATTTGAAATGTTTAAGTTGTATATTTTTCGTTACGAACACTACACTCTCGTGTAATAAATACGGTTGAGGTTTTTATCCCTATAATTATTGTGTGTAATCGTGATTGAACCTATTTTGAATCCGTTTGTGAGGGCATAGTATTGATTGTGAGACTTGCCGTGAAGGAGCGTGGCCAGCGAGGATATCGGACGCGTTCAAAAAGGATCCATTTTTCGCTGAAGCCGAAAAATGGGCAGACTTTGATCGCGGACTCCGAGGGAAGTCCCCGACACCAGTGAAGCCAAGAATAAGCCCGCCTCGTGATTGCGAGGTTGCTTTTGATGCCGATGGTAAGGGCAACAGACCTCTATGCACTCTGTATCTTCGTCACGACCCCTCTTCGTAAATAATTTCTCATAAATCTCTTTCAACAAATTCGTTTGGATGTTATCATTGATAAAATCAAGCCGATCCAAATGTAACTTAAAGCTGTTTGCAGATTATGCGTTCAAATTAATCATTTAAAACTGAAGTAGATAGTGCAAGTCGGTGTTTAGAATAGTGACTTTCATTTTTATGAAGATAGCTTACAGTGAATAAAGAATTGGAACATATTTATTCACGACCCTACATTACGCTTCTCCAGTTTACAACAACGAGTGTATGTGTTCTCTCTCTATAAATATTCATGTCAAGTTTGGAATCATTAATAAACTAATAAGGACATCTTGTATTCCTACCAATACAGATAAAATAACCCAATTAACTAACGCATTATAATTATAATTTTAGCAGCACTTTGTATTTGGATTAGCACTAATACATATCAAGAATTAACTGAATAACGTTGCGTCAATTAAGATGTGTAATTTAAACTAATGCTTGCATAATGTGAATGTTTGGGTGATAATGGCTGTACATTGCAAAGCACGATTAACGTTGAGAGAGTGGACGATGACGAAATACAGTGTGACATTCATTTGTCTGTTGTGTCGGCACTAATTGTTGTGGCGTGTAGGTGCTCCGTTGTACAACGCTGGCGGCATGAGGCGTCCTTGGGATGACATATTCAACCCGAGAGCGTCACTGCCAATCTCAGCGATAACTCGGGACCCCTTCTGGTACGACTGGCCGTTGCTGAAACCGATGGCTAGATGGGATCGCAGCCCTTCCTACATCCGTGACTCGTACCTGTCGCCAGTCAAACGCACCTTCCTCTGGGACAAGCATCCGATCAGGCCCTTAGGTTAGTGCGCTGCTGTAAATACGCTGTTTTACAGCTTTTGTTATTCAAGCTGTACAAATTGGCCTTAAAACATGTACTGAATTCGAAATTTAACTTTCACAGTTTCATTGCAGCTATTAAACTTCTAACGGTTTCTTTCAGAGAGATTTCAATAATTTTCTAATGATATATCTCTGATCACGGCAGATCTTATGGTGGCAGACGCATTCACAGTTGGTGATCTAAGCGAGACTTTGCCCTTCATCCGTAGTCTATAAAATATGAACATCTGATATCTACTCTGCAGTAGGTATAGGCGCCAGAATAAGTAAATGGGTTATTTTATCCGTTTATATTTTTACCACTTTCCATATAGTGCAATACTTAGAATATTCCCAGTGATAATATTTGACCCGTAAGGACTAATCGTACAATTTATATGAAGTTATGTTGAAATTTTCATATATTAACTCTTCGTTTCGCCCTTTAGCACCATTTTTAATTATCCTTCGAACATTTCAATGAAATTGGTTTTTACGGATTTGATCGCATTTATTAACTTATTTTATATTTCCAAAACGCAATAAAATCCGTAAAGACTACTTTTATTCAAATCTGTGCTGTTCGCGTAAACATAAAAAATCATTAGATATCCTTCGCACGATACATTATTTACGTAATGTAAGGAAATATATATGTATATATACATATACATATATATATATATATATTTAATCATGTGTTACATATATATGTATATAATATAGATACTAATCTTTATCAAAGTACTTTTTGGATTGCAACACCTACGTCTAATTCTCACCACTCCATGGGTAGACTGGTAGAGAATGCATATGTGAATAAGTCCGGCCTTTGTATCATTGCTTATAGAGGAATGCAATAAAGCTTGAATATAAATAAATACAGATTTAAATATACTTTCGTAATTTTTGCAGACTTTTCATCTTCAGTTTGTATTATGCATCTACTTTTTCATGCTCATCTACACATATACCTACTCATTATACAGGTTTATTTTGCAATAACCGGCCAAATTTGCAGAGAAGTTTTAGAATAAGTAATATAGAGAAATGGTGAAGAAAAAGTAATTAAAAAACATCTCAAGCATTCATTCATTTTTTATCTTGTAAAATAAAAATGCGTGGTAATGCATAATTTTTATTGATTTTACTACGCACGCACACATTCGTAATTTAAGTTTAAAATCTGGCTACTATTTCAAAAATAACCCTGTATACTCATATAATATAACCTCCTCAGTGCCATTTTATTCCTCTAGTAATTTATGGTAGATGCATAGAATATCAGATCCATTTCACTTTTGTTACAATAGATAAATTACTTGTTGTAAATAATTATATTACGAACTTTATTTCTTTTTTGATGTTTTGTGATTGCAATATTGAATCCGTAGAATCTCCAACCCATAAAAATTCGTTATTTTAAAAATAAATTATATAACAAAACTGTATTATATCTTGATTTTAATCACGATTGAATAACCGTTTTTAGTTGATAAATTCTTAATCAACTTTACTACATAGGTATGCTGCATGAAAATCATGGCACTCTTGCCAAGTAATACGTTTTTGTTTTCAGCCGCCGCTTACTAAAGGGCCTGCCTTCGCACACAATATGTAAAGTTCCGTATTATCTACGTATTTTGACGTTGTCACTTTGACTATGTTATGTTTTAATATAACACCAGGCAGCATTCAACAAATTTTATAAATGTGTCCGGAATCACTTTCGGTTAATATCACAAAGACTGTGTGACATAGTCACTGCCAGACGAACATGTTTGTTACGAAGAATTGTTTTATTATTTATTTTTATGTATACAAAAATTAAAAAAATTATAAAATCTTAAAAAACTCTCTTTCATTTATTTTACTCGATATATTCACTTGTTCATATGGAAATGATTATATTGTTGCAGTATTCAGAGATTTTATTAAGTTATCGTTTATCATATAAAATATGTCATTAAAATATAAGCTTGAACTTAATAAATAAGAAAATTAAAATTAAAAACAAGAACTTTTTAAAGGTTATTTGAAGTAGATAAAAAACCAAAAATAATATAAAAAATATTTGTTTGAATTAGGGCTTATTGTAAGTGTAATATAAAAATGCGGGATAAATTTATGTTTTATCTATAGATACAGTACTGTATAGACAGGCAATACCCAAGAGCAGTCTCAATGGCTTAACTATTCTCGAAGCGATTCAGCTCTTTCTTCAATTGTCATAATTTCAGTCCGGATATACTTGACACATTAAAACAGTTTGAGATGGTACGAGTAACAGCCTCCTCCAGAAAAAAAATTAATACAATCGACAGAATGACTGTGGCAGACCCGGAAAAAAGATCAATGGGTTAAGAGCACTCTGTAAATCCCACACGCCAGCAACGCCTATTCGATCCCAGGTGGTGCCAATGAAATTATTAAGAATAATTTTAGGCCGCTTTACCACGGAACCGGCAGTGAAATAAAACATCGTAATTCGTAATGAAACCCGTATACTTAATAATCTAATAAAATGTTCCAAAGGCATGTGAAGTACGCCCCCCACACACACTAGAGCAGCGCGGCAATCTAATGCTCTCCTCTCAAAACTGATATAAGCCTGTATCCTGTGGGTTTTATTAGGGCTGTTAATTTAATGTTACTCGGAAATAGAAGCTTGCCCAAACCCAATGGAAAGCGAGCTCGGTATATTCCAGTACGCCTTGCTAGGAACGATAGGTTATAAGTTGTCTCTTCCAAGGAGGGGAAGTCAACGGGTGGCAATGTCTTCGAGAGCTTTCCCGTGACCCTGCCATCATGCGGGAAATGTAGAGCATCATGGAATTTTAGATTTTATTTTGATTATTATAACGAATTGTTGAAAAGAAAGCATAATTCCAAAGAGTTTTTATTTCACACTCTACACGATTAAATATTAAACATTTTTTATACAGAATAAAGGTGACAAACGAGCACACAGTCCACCTGGTGGTAAGTGGATGCTACGGCCCATAGACATCTATATTTGGCCTTAATTAAGAATCAAAATATAGATGGGTTGTCACCCCTTATGACTGAGATGAAATGCCCCGTTTCCAGTTAAAAGTGTCCCCGGTTCTCTACACTCACTATACAAAACACAGCAACATTAAGCTGCTGTTTTACGGTGGTATTCTGTAAGAGCGTGGTCCTACCCGGTCCAGCCGACCCATTCGTGCTACAACCATAATATAACTGCAGGGTGGCTCTACCATGTAAAAAACTAAAACTAAAGAATTCTTAGAATAATATTTATATATCTTTCCATTTAACATTATTAAACGTCTGACAGAGAAATAAACAGCGAAATATTTCTATAAGTGTTCCCTTTTGCTAATTCTAAAAGAAATATTAAAAATATATATACGAGTACGTGACATCAGATCCCTGAGAAATCGCTAACTCCCACCGTGATGGTGGATTAATTCCTTTAGGGTCAGGGGTTTCCTATTATTTATTACCTTTGTGACGGGAATGAGTGATAACTGATGAGTGAATGTAAATATATATATATATATATATATATATATATATATATATATATATATATGAGTCTTAATAGAGGATAGATGTACATGTCTTTGGGTCCAATCAGGTGGACTGTGTGCTCGTTCAAGCTTATTCTATTTTATTTAAAAAAGATAATGCAGTCACAGGGAGCCAGAATAAACAGCCGCATCCCTTGAACATAACCCATAACTTTTTTATCAGCTCGAAAATAAAGTACTGGATATGAGCTGGTCTTGCTAAAATCGGTATATTTTCAGGCGGATTCGCCTGACGCTGCTCTCCGTCGCTGTTCTATGTATTTTTATGTCAGGAGTTAACGAAATGGTTATATCGCCATCTATTAGAAGCTATAAGATTTTCTGGGATTCCCATAGTTGGTCGTTACTTTCGACATCTACGGGACGCAATTGAGTGATCGATTTTTTATATATATTATATTTTCTACGCGGGCTACATTGAAAATATCACAATCTAAGGCAATATCTGCGCTTTGAATAATTTAAAATTGAAATTAATAATTTTGTACAACCGACTTCAATATAAATTATTAAGAATAACTTAAAAACCATTGGTCAGACCTTGATCAAATTTATGTGCGACCAAATAAGAAACACCAGCTTTCAAATAAAAACGAATCATTAAAATTGGTTCTCCCAGAAAAAAGTTATGAGGTCACACACATAAAAAAAGAACATACAGTCGAATTGAGTACCTCCTCCTTTTTGAGGTCGGTAGAAAATAAATGCTGGTCACTTTTAAACTTTTTGCGTATGAATGCAATAACTAAAACATTAAGCTAGGGCACAACAGCATATCTGCTAATAGTTTCTACCACGCAAACTAAAACATTATGATTTTGATGCTTTTCTGAAAACTGTCAAGTTGTCTTACTGAACTACTAAAGGCTATGGTTGTTGGATTTTTTTACAATTTCGAGGAATACTCATCAGCATATATCATCTCGCAAGTAGCGTGAAATCGTAGATGTCAAAGTGAGACGAAGCTCTTTGAACTCGTACTCAAAGAAATCTTTTTGAGAAATTGATTATGCTGAACCTCAGATTTTGGAAGTAAAATATGGAATTATAGCACAAGTTGTTAGTGTTAGTGAACAATAAAATCCTGAATTATTACTTAATGTGTTGTGCGTGAATAACATTCAGATACAGCCGTGGTAACCTGTGGCAGGTTATCAGATGATGTGATTTGTTGCTGGATTTTAATACCCTATGTAATGTATGTGGTGTCAGTGTAAGTAGCCTTATTTACGACTGGCTGTGTTAAGCGACAAATAAAGAAAACGTGTTGAAATTGGTATTGGTATCACAACAAACAGAATAAAATTTCACAGAACAATGACAGGCAGCTATATAATACAAATATATAATGCAAATTGTAGGCAAATCAAAGGTACTTACACGTCATGTTAATACCGTATCCTCTTCAGTCCAGTAATTTGTATACGTCATCCAATGCAGCGTTGAAGATTTTCGAAGATATTACCAGTCACCCTGTCTTACACCTCTCAGCGGTTGAATAGGTTTTGTATTCTGGTTCTGTACTCAGATAGCCATCGTAGCCCTGCTGTACAAACACTTCAGCATTTCGATATACTGACAGTCAACTTGACGCCGCTGAAGGAACTGTAGCACCGCCTAAATTTCGACGGAATCAAAGGCTTTCTCATAGTCCACATACGTAAGATAAAATGGCAGATTGTAATCTTCGGTCTTCTGTACAGTTTTCCGAAGGGTTTTTTGTGGTCTATGGTGCTAAAAGCATTTCCACGCCTCCGGAGCAGACCCACTATGGAAGACGGCATTAAAGAGCTTCTGTAAAACTTAAAATTCTGGTTTTCCATCCGTTTCAGAAACTCCGCTGTAATTCCATCTTCGCCCGGCGCCTTGCTGTTTTAAAAGTGCTGGAGAGCCATTCTAATCTCGCTCAGACTGACTTCCAGGACATCATCGGAATAGTGTTTCATAAGACTTGCTCTTTCATTACTCACATTTGCGTGTGTCTCCAACGATGACGCGTACATCTGCCCGTAGAACCTCTCAATCTCACTCAAAATTTCAGGTATCTCGTAAACGATGCTACCACATTCGGTCTTCAGCTTCAACAGTTGGATCTTTCTGGCAGGCAGATCTCTAAGTATAAATCACATGCCAACAACGTTTTTACCTACCGATCGACCCTTACGAATGTGTTAAATCAGTAAAATCAGTTGAAATAATGCATTACCACACATATTGAATTTAAAAGATAAAAGGGACAAGATGTTAAAAGACAGAATGCTTGAGATTGAGATTTTGGAGGACAGAAAAATAATCCTATATGTATTGACATTCATCATCATCATTATCATTACAGCCCTTCACAAGTCCACTGCTGAACATAGGCCTCCCCCAAAGAATGCCACAAAACACGGTCCTGAGCCACCTGCATCTATCGACTTCCTGCATGTCTTACCAGGTCGTCACTCCTCCACTCATGTATTGACATTAAAACCAACCAAATACAAACAGTACAACCAAAGAAATTTTCTTCAATTTTAAACCAACAAAATACGAAGAAATTTTTCACCTACCTATTATTTAACTTCCGGATAGAGCCACATATTAATTAATATCTATACTATGTAGTCACTACGTAACAGATACATCAATCCTATGTGAAAACGAAAATACCGACGGTTTTGATTACCTACTACAGCTATAAATATCAGTGAAGTATAGAGTAGAGTAAGCATAATTACAGGCTGTAAGGCTTTCAATCTTAGTTGTTAGGAAAGACGCATCTGTAGCCTTCAGTTATGAAGCCTTTTAAAAAGGAGTAGGCTCTTTTCTTGAAGGTCCCTAAGTCGTATTAGTCCGGAAAAATCGCTGGTGGTAATCGATTCCACAAGGAAGTTGTGCGAGGGAGAAAACTTCTTCTAAATCGCACAGTGGTGGACCGCCAATCATCTAGATGGTATGGATGCTATCGCGAGTTCTGCCGCGATGTGCGTTCGTGAAATTTGGCGGCTGGGATTAATCCGAGCAATTCCTCAGAGCACTCCCCGTGGTAAAAGCGAAAGAAAATGCAAAGAGATGCAACATTCTTAACGGTGGTAGAGCCACGCGGCCGTTTTTGCTGTTGCACGTATGGGCCGGCTCGAGCCGGGTTGGTACCACGACCTCACAGAATACCGGTAGCCGGAGGCCCAATCCCCCACCCCCCAATCAACATTGAGGAATTACATCAAAGACTACCCCAGGTACCAGCACCCCTCCCCTCCCC